CGTATTTGAGATAAAAAAAATGAAATTATGTGATACTATATATGTCGTGTCAAATAAGTAACGAAAAAAATATATTTCATTGTGTTTGTTTATTAAATTATTGTAAACTTACCTAAAATATGTTTAGTTGGATTAGGCTATATTAAATTGTGTTTGTTATAATGAGGTTACGTGAGTTTTCTAAGGTTCTTTTGGTATAATTTTATTAATTTTTACCTTAACATAAATGAAAAAAAATATATGTTTAAACGTATAAGAGAAAATTTTAGAAAGGACTTAATTTTAAATGATTTCTTGCTGACCAGTTTTACCTATTCGGCACGACATATATATATATATATAATATATATATATATATATATATATATATATATATATATATATATATATATATATATAATATATTATAATATATATAATATGTATATATATATGTTAAAATTGTACGTACACATTAGAGGTACAGAGTTGATGGGTTGCGACTATGATGGGCTACAGACGATCTATATATATATATATATATATATATATATATATATATATATATATATATATATATATATATATATATATATATATATATATATATATATATGTATATATATATGTTAAAATTGTACGTACACATTAGAGGTACAGAGTTGATGGGTTGCGACTATGATGGGCTACAGACGATCTATGGTGGTAGGAGGAAGGAAGCCACATCAGTTACTGAGGGCTGTCACATGTTCCCAGAAGATCACATCCTGGCACTTGCGGCTCCCGTCTGGCGAGACTCCATCCCATGAAATGAGAAGTGGACCTTATACCGCATTAACAAGACCACCAATTGGGTATTATTCCATATATTCGACCATCACGATTCCTGGAGACCCACTACCCTCCTTATTACTTATCTCCCACACACACACACATTCTTTAAGAACATTTACCCACGACCGCTCCTTCCTTTCTCCTTCTCTATGTCACTTATAGCTAAGTTCATTAATTTGCTTCCTCTGACCCAGCCGTGCTGGGTTACGGTTAGATCAGCCAGACTGTTGTTGCTTGCATCTCAGTCCGCGTAAGCGCAATAAGTAGGTAGATTTTGAGAACATGAAGGTTGGATTTTTTATATAAATTAAGAAAAGCTGCTGGAAAGCGCTCTGCTCGTCAATATAGTTACTGAAAGTTGTTTTTCAATAGGAATATTTTATAGTTTGCCAAGCCTACCTGTATAAGGAGTTATTTCAGTGTGCAAATTTGAAAACATTATAAGATGTATCTTATAAAGTTTCTCACTTGTGTTTCAGCAAATATAATTTAAATGCTTTTTTAGCTTTAACAACAGTTCAAGCTTTTTTTTTTTTTGATGGTTTTGTACAATGATGCCTGTGTAGGTTCTCCATGTCTGCAATATCGTCAGCTTTAATTAGAGTAGAGCAGTATTCCAGCGTAGCTTGATTACTAGCGCACTCAACACACACTGAGGTCCGGGGATCGGTCCCTGGTACTGCTGGAAAGCATTAGGGACGTGTTTCCATAACACACCTGCTGTCCATCTTCACACATAATAAAATGGTACCTGGATGTTAGTCGACTGGTGTGGGTCGCATCCTGGGATAAAATTGACCTAATTTGCCCGATATGTTCTGCATAATAAGCGACTTTCTATACAGAAGTATGTACTATATATCAAGTAGGACAGTACACCTTGTACATGTACTTGTACAAGTACTATATATCAACTAGGACAGTACACCTTGTACATGTACTTGTACAAGTAATTATCATTATAGTGACCATGTGCCAGAGAAGTTCTCATCGCTGACTTGGCATTTTATGCCTTGAAAAGTATTATCTTGCCTATAATTGATCTTATGGTTGTGTTATATACAGTACTGAACAGTTTTTAAGTTAGATGTTCGTACGTATGTACAGTATTATTCACCTGCTGTTTGTATTGCTCGATTTAATTTCTTCGTTGTAGTCAGACTACACTAGAAACTCTATTACATGAGACCTATTGTCTAGTAAGACTTAGCAGCAGTAGCGGCGCACCAGCCACTAGCAGCAGTAGCGGCGCACCAGCCACTAGCAGCAGTAGCGGCGCACCAGCCACTAGCAGCAGTAGCGGCGCACCAGCCACTAGCAGCAGTAGCGGCGCACCAGCCACTAGCAGCAGTAGCGGCGCACCAGCCACTAGCAGCAGTAGCGGCGCACCAGCCACTAGCAGCAGTAGCGGCGCACCAGCCACTAGCAGCAGTAGCGGCGCACCAGCCACTAGCAGCAGTAGCGGCGCACCAGCCACTAGCAGCAGTAGCGGCGCACCAGCCACTAGCAGCAGTAGCGGCGCACCAGCCACTAGCAGCAGTAGCGGCGCACCAGCCACTAGCAGCAGTAGCGGCGCACCAGCCACTAGCAGCAGTAGCGGGCACCAGCCACTAGCAGCAGTAGCGGCGCACCAGCCACTAGCAGCAGTAGCGGCGCACCAGCCACTAGCAGCAGTAGCGGCGCACCAGCCACTAGCAGCAGTAGCGGCGCACCAGCCACTAGCAGCAGTAGCGGCGCACCAGCCACTAGCAGCAGTAGCGGCGCACCAGCCACTAGCAGCAGTAGCGGGCACCAGCCACTAGCAGCAGTAGCGCGCACCAGCCACTAGCAGCAGTAGCGGCGCACCAGCCACTAGCAGCAGTAGCGGCGCACCAGCCACTAGCAGCAGTAGCGGCGCACCAGCCACTAGCAGCAGTAGCGGCGCACCAGCCACTAGCAGCAGTAGCGGCGCACCAGCCACTAGCAGCAAGTAGCATGGCGCACCAGCCACTAGCAGCAGTAGCGGCGCACCAGCCACTAGCAGCAGTAGCGGCGCACCAGCCACTAGCAGCAGTAGCGGCGCACCAGCCACTAGCAGCAGTAGCGGCGCACCAGCCACTAGCAGCAGTGGCGGCGCACCAGCCACTAGCAGCAGTAGCGGCGCACCAGCCACTAGCAGCAGTGGCGGCGCACCAGCCACTAGCAGCAGTGGCGGCGCACCAGCCACTAGCAGCAGTGGCGGCGCACCAGCCACTAGCCAGCAGTGGCAGGCGCACCAGCCACTAGCAGCAGTGGCGGCGCACCAGCCACTAGCAGCAGTGGCGGCGCACCAGCCACTAGCAGCAGTGGCGGCGCACCAGCCACTAGCAGCAGTGGCGGCGCACCAGCCACTAGCAGCAGTGGCGGCGCACCAGCCACTAGCAGCAGTGGCGCTGCACCAGCCACTAGCAGCAGTGGCGGCGCACCAGCCACTAGCAGCAGTGGCGCTGCACCAGCCACTAGCAGCAGTGGCGGCCACCAGCCACTAGCAGCAGTGGTGATGCACTAGCCACTAGCAGCAGTGGTGATGCACCAGCCACTAGCAGCAGTGGTGATGCACCAGCCACTAGCAGCAGTGGTGATGCACCAGCCACTAGCAGCAGTGATGCACCAGCCACTAGCAGCAGTGGTGATGCACCAGCCACTAGCAGCAGTGGCGGCGCACCAGCCACTGGCAGCAGTGGCGCTGCACCAGCCACTAGCAGCAGTGGCGCTGCACCAGCCACTAGCAACAGTGGCGGCGCACCAGCCACTAGCAGCAGTGGCGGCGCACCAGCCACTAGCAGCAGTGGCGCTGCACCAGCCACTAGCAGCAGTGGCGCTGCACCAGCCACTAGCAACAGTGGCGGCGCACCAGCCACTAGCAGCAGTGGTGATGCACCAGCCACTAGCAGCAGTGGTGATACACCAGCCACTAGCAGCAGTGGTGATGCACCAGCCACTAGCGGCAGTGGTGGCTCACCAGCCACTAGCAGCAGTGGCGGCGCACCAGTCACTAGCAGCAGTGGCGGCGCACCAGCCACTAGCAGCAGTGGCGGCGCACCAGCCACTAGCAGCAGTGGCGCTGCACCAGCCACTAGCAGCAGTGGCGGCGCACCAGCCACTAGCAGCAGTGGCGGCGCACCAGCCACTAGCAGCAGTGGCGCTGCACCAGCCACTAGCAGCAGTGGCGCTGCACCAGCCACTAGCAGCAGTGGCGGCGCACCAGCCACTAGCAGCAGTGGTGATGCACGAGCCACTAGCACCAGTGGAGGCATAAGCCACTAGCAGTAATGGCGCACCAGCCACTAGCAGCAGTGGCGGCGCATGAGCCACTAGCAGCAGTGGGGCACTAGCCACTAGCAGCAGTGGCGGTGCACCAGCCACTAGCAGCAGTGGTGGCGAACGAGCCACTAACAGCAGTGGCGGCAGATCACCACAGCCACTAGCAGCAGTAGCGGCACACGAGCCACTAGCACAGTGGGGTCGCACCAGCCACTAAACAGTAGGGCGGCGCACAGGCCACTAGCAGCAGCATGGCGGCGCACCAGCCACTAGCAGTAGTGGCGGCGTACCAGCTACTAGGAGTAGTGGCGGCGCACGAGCCACTAGCAGCAGTGGCGGCGTACCAGCTACTAGGAGTAGTGGCGGCGCACCAGCACTAGCAGCAGTGGCGGCACCAGCACTAGCAGCAGTGGCGGCGCACAGCCACTAGCAGCAGTGGCGGCGCACGAGCCACTAGCAGCAGTGGCGGCGCACCAGCCACTAGCAGTAGTGGCGGCGCACGAGCCACTAGCAGCAGTGGCGGCGCACCAGCCACTAGCAGCAGTGGCGGCGCACCAGCCACTAGCAGAGGCGGCGCACCAGCACTAGCAGCAGTGGCGGCGCACGAGCCACTAGCAGCAGTGGCGGCGCACCAGCCACTAGCAGTAGTGGCGGCGCACGAGCCACTAGCAGCAGTGGCGGCGTACCAGCTACTAGTAGTGGCGGCGCACGAGCCACTAGCAGCAGTGGCGAACGGGCCACTAGGTTAAGTTACATTTTTTCTTTTGGTTACGATAAACAGGTTTACTTTCTCCATAGGACGAACTATGTCTCTCTTGCAAACGCTCATTTAATATTGCAGAATTTGCATAATAAAAAAACAAACGGTTACGGTAAATAGTGACCTTCTTGTGTCATTTGTGGAGTTATAAACGAGTGATATGTTTCAGGACGATATGCAAACATGCAAGACACAGTTGACCACAGTGATGGAGGAGTTGGGACGCTTCAAGAACTTCAACTCCCGCCTGGAGCAGCTCGAGGAGGCTCGTAATGTCCTCAATGAAGAGGGTGGCGACGACAAAGGTGAGCTACTGCTGCTACAGTCTTAAGCAGGAACGCACCAAAACACTTTTGATGAAATTTTTACATTTCAAAACAATTGTTAATAAATATCACAGCGTTTTGACATTTTACTTGTGTACTCTCATGTACTCACCTAATTGTGGTTTCAGGGGTCGAGGCTCAGCTCCTGGCTCCGCCTCTTCACTGACCGCTACTGGGTCCTCCCTCTTCCTGCTCCATGAGCTTTATCATACCTCGTCTTAAAACTATGTACGGTTCCTGCCTCCACTACATCACTTGCCAGACTATTACACTTCCTAAAAACTATGTGACTAAAGAAATACTTCCTAACATCCCTTTGAGTCATCTGAGTCTTCAACTTCCAATTGTGACCCCTTGTTTCTGTGTCCCATCTCTGGAACATCCTGTCTCTGTCCACCTTGTCTATTCCACGCAGTATTTTGTATGTCGTTATCATGTCACCAATCACCCTCCTGTCTTCCATTGTCATCAGACCGATTTCCCTAGGACATTCCCCATAGCTCTGGAACCACCCTTGTTTCAAACCTTTGCAATTTCTCTAATTTCTTGACGTGCTTGACCAGGTGTGGGTTCCAAACTGGTGCTGTGTATTAAAGTATGGGCCTGACGTACGCAGTGTATAGAGTCTTGAACGATTCCTTACTGAGGTATCGGGACGCTATTCTCAGGTTTGCCAAGCGCCAATATGCCACAGCAGTTATTTGGCTAATGTGGGCTTCCGGCGACGTGCTCGGTGTTATACTCACCTGCAGATATTTCTCCTTGAGTAAGGTTTGCAGTCTTTGGCCGCCTAGCCTATACTCTGTCTGTGGTCTTCTTTGCCCTTCCCTGATCTTCATGACTTTGCATTTGGCAGGGTTAAATTCTAGGAGCCAGCTCCTGGACCACGCATCCAGCCTGTCCAGGTCTCTTTGTAGACCTGTCTGGTCTGCATCTGATTTAATTCTCCTCATTAACTTCACATCATCTGCAAATAAGGACACTTCTGATGCTATCCCTTCTGTCATGTCATCCACATATACCAACTATAGCACTGGTCCTAGGACTGGCCCCTGTGGGACTCCGCTCGTCACATGTGCCCACTGTGCTACCTCATCACATACCATGACTCGCTGTTGCCTCCCTGTCAAGTATTCTCTGATCCATTGCAGTGTCCTTCTTGTTATACATGCCTGATCCTCTAGCTTCTGTACTAATCTCTTGTGAGGAACTGTGTCGAAGGCCTTCTTGTAGTCCAAGAAAATGCAATCGACCCACCCCTCCCTCTCATGTCTTTAGTTACCTTATCATAAAACTCCAGAAGGTTTGTGACACAGGATTTGCCTTCCATGAATCCTTGCTAGTTGTTGTTTATAACCTTGTTCTGCTCCAGGTGCTCCACCACTCTCCTCCTGATAATCTTCTCCATGACTTTGCATACTATACACGTCAGTGACACTGGTCTGTAGTTCAGTGCTTCGTTTCTGTTCCTTTTCTTAAAGATAGGGATCACATTTGCCGTCTTCCATACCTCAGGTAGTTGCCCAGTTTCAAGTGATGTGTTGAAGGGTGTGGGTAGTGGCACACAGTGTCTCTGCTCTCTCTCCATGGACCCACGGATAGATGTCTGGTCCCACCGCCTTTGAGGCATCAAGGTCATTTAGAAGCTTCTTCACCTCCTCCGTTGTGTGTATTTCATCCAACACTTGTTGGTATATCCCTTGTTGGTGTACCCCTCTGTTTTGTCTTTCCAGTGTCCCTTCAGCCTCCACTGTATATACTTCCTAAAATCTTGTGTTGAGCTCCTCACATACTTCTTGGTCGTTTCTTGTGAGCTTCTCACCTTCTTTCCTCAGCCTGATTACCCGGTCCTTGACCATTGTCTTCCTCCTGATGTGGCTGTAAAGCAGTTTCAGGTCAGACTTGACTTTCGATGTTATGTCGTTTTCGTACTGCCGCTGGGCCTCCCTCCTTATCTGTGCATACTAATTTCTGGCTTATCGACTAATCTCTTTATTTTCCTGGGTCCTTTGCCTTCTGTACGTTTTCCATTCTCTAGCACACTTAGTTTTTGCCTCCCTGCACCTTCGGATAAAGCAAAGGCTCATTCTGGTCTTCCCATTATTTCTCTTACCCTTGGGAACAATCCTTTCATCTGGCTCATTGCATTTCATTGTTACGTAGTCCATCATTTCGTTTACTGACTTTCCTACCAACTCTCTTTCCCACTGAACCTCTTGCAGGAAGGTCCTCATACCTGTGTAGTACCCCCTTTTATAGTTTGGCTTCTCCCTTTCTACTCCTGTTGCCCTCTCCACTTGTAGCTCTACGATGTATTCAAAACTCAGAACCACATGGTTGCTAGCTCCAAGGGGCCTTTCATATGTGATGTCCTCGATGTCTAAGCTACTCAGGGCGAACACAAGGTCCAGTCTTGCTGGTTCATCTTCCCCTCTCTCTCTGGTAGTGTCCTTAACATGTTGGTGCATGAGGTTTTCCAGTACCACATCCCTCATCTTGGCTCTCCATGTTTCAGGACCCCCATTTGGCTCCAGGTTTTCCCAGTCAATCTCCCTGTGGTAAAAGTCACCCATAACCAGTAACTTTGCTCTACTTGAGTGAGCTCTTCTTGCCACCTCAGCTAGTGTGTCCACCATTGCTCTGTTGCACTCATCACATTCCTCTCTCAGCCTCCTGCAGTTCTGTGGTGGGTTATACATCACTGCAATGACTACCTTATGTTCCCCTGACTGAACTGTACCTACTATATAATCCCTTTCTCCAATCTCGTCCATTCCATCCATTTCCTCATAACCCTGTCGGTTTTTAATGAGCAGTGCGACCCCACCTCCCCGTCTGCTCCTATCCTTCCTCAGGATCTGATATCTGGGTGGGAAGATTGTGTCTGTTATTGTCCCCATGAGTTTTGTTTCTGTGACTGCTATGATGTCTGGGGACATTTCCTTGATTATTTCATGCCACTCCTCGCATTTATTCGTTATTCCATCTGCATTCATGTACCAAACCTTCAACTTCTTTTCTATAACTGTGGTCTGGGGAGAATGGTGGATTTGGGGAGTAGGTGCCCTGGTGGGGGCCTATAGGGGGTTGCTGTGGGGGTGGGGTCTGTGGTGTGGGGGGTGAAGGCAGAGGTCCTTTGGGGGATTTCAGTGGGGTGGAGGTTGTGGTGAGGGGGATGGGGGAGAGGGCCTATGGAGGGGTTACAGTGGGGGTGGGGGTTATGGGGATGGGTGTGTGTGTACTCACCTACTTTTGGTTGCAGGGATCGAAACTCAGCTCCTGGTCCCGCCTCTTCACTGACCGCTACTAGGTCCTCTCCCTGCTCCATTAGCTTTATCATGCCTCATCTTAAAACTATGTATGGATCCTGCCTCCACTACATCACTTGCCAGACTATTCCACTTCCTGACCACTCTATGACTGAAGAAATACTTCCTAACATCCCTTTGACTCATCTGAGTCTTCAACTTCCAATTGTGACTCCTTGTTTCTGTGTCCCATCTCTAGAACATCCTGTCTCTGTCCACCTAATCTATTCCTCGCTGTATTTTGTATGTTATGTCTTCCCTAACCCTCCTGTCCTCCAGTGTCGTCAGGCTCATTTCCCTTAACTTTTCTTCGTAGGATATTACCCTGAGCTCTAGAGTTATCTTTGTTGCAAACCTTTGCACTTTCTCTAATTTCGTGAAGTGCTTGACCAGGTGTGGGTTCCAAACTGGTGCTGCATACCCTAGTATGGGCCTGACATACACGGTGTACAGAGTCTTGAACGATTCCTCACTGAGGTATCAGAATGCTATTCTCAGGTTTACCAGGTGCCCATATGTTGCAGCTGTTATCTAGTTGATGTGTGCTTCTGGAGACGTGCTCGGTATTATACTCACCCCAAGATCTTTCTGGCCACCTAGCCTATATTCTGTCTGCAGTCTTCTTTGCCCTTCCCCGATCTTCATGACTTTGCACTTGGCGGGGTTTAATTCAAGGAGCAAGTTGCTAGACCACGCATCCAGCCTGTCCAGGTTTCTTTGTAGTCCTGCCTGATCCTCATCTGGTTTAATTCTCCTCATTAACTTCACATCATCATCGAACAGGGACACTTCTGATGCTATCCCTTCCATCATGTCATTCACATATACCAAAAATAGCACTGTTTCTAGGACTGACCCCTGTGGGACCCTGCTCATTACAGGTGCCCACTGTGATGTCTCATCCGTCCCATGACTCGTTGTTGCCTCCGTTAGGTATTCTCAGATCCATTACAGTACCCTTCCTGTTATACGTGCCTAATCCTCCAGTTTCTGCACTAATCTCTTGTGAGGAACTGTGTCGAAGGCCTTCTTGCAGTTCAAGAAAATGTAATCAACCCACCCCTCTCTCTTACGTCTTACTTCTGTTACCGTGTCATAAATCTCCAGTAAGTTTGTGACACAGGATTTTCCTTCCATGAATCCGTGCTGGCTGTTGTTTATAATGTTCCATTCCAGGTGCTCCACTATTCTCCTCTTGATAATCTTCTCCATGACTTTGCATACTATACACATCAGTGAAACTGGTCTATAGTTTAGTGCCTCGTTTCTGTCTCCTTTCTTAAAAATGGGAGCTACATTTGCCGTCTTCCATACCTCAGGTAGTTGCCCAGTTTCAAGGAATGTGTTGAAAATTGTGGTTAGTGGCAGAGTGTCTCTGCTTCCTCTCTAAGGACCCACAGAGAGTTGTCTGGTCCCACCACCTTTGAGGTATCAAGGTCACTTAGCAGCTTCTTTACCTCCTCCTCGGTTGTGTGTATTTCATCCAACACTTGTTTGTGTACCCCTCTGTTCTGTCTTCCCAGAGTCTTTTCTGTCTCTACTGTAAATACTTCCTTCAATCTCGTGTTGAGCTCCTCACATACTTCTTGGTCATTTTGTGTAAGCTCTCCACCTTCTTTTCTCAGCCTGATTACCTGGTCCTTGACTGTTGTCTTCCCCTTGATGTGGCTATACAACAGCTTCGGGTCAGACTTGACTTTCGATTCCATGTTGTTTTTGTACTGTTGCTGGCCTCCCTCCTTATCTGTGCATACTCGTTTCTGGCTCTTTGACTAATCTCTATTGTCCTGGGTCCTTTGCCTTCTGTATTTTTTCCATTCTCTAGTGCACTTAGTTTTTGCCTCCTAACACCTTCGGGTAAATCAAAGGCTTATTCTGGTCTTCCCATTATTTCTGTTGCCCCTGGGAACAAACCTTTCCTCTACCTCCTTGTATTTTGTTGTTACGTATTCCATTATTTCGTTTACTGACTTTCCTACCTATTCTCGTTCCCACTGAACCTCCTGCAGGAAGTTCCTCATACCTGTGTAGTAGTTCCTTTTATAGTTTGGCTTTTCCCATCCTTTTCTTGTTACCCTCTCCACTTGTAACTCAACTAAGTATTCAAAGCTGAGAACAGTGTGACCACTAGCTCCAAGGGGCCTTTCATAAATGTGATGTCCTCAATGCCCAAGCTACTCAGGGTGAACACAAGGCCCAGTCTTTCTGGTTCATCCTCCCCTCTCTCTCTGGTAGTATCCCTAACATGATGTCTGAAGTGTGTGTGTGTATGTGTGTGATTTTAAGGGGGCGGGATTATCAAAGAAATGATCGCATATGTCAGTTCAAAAGCAGATTTGTTGAGAGCACACATCAGCATGTGTGAATAATTGGCCTAGTACTCAGAATGTATTTTTTTCCTCCCAGACTGGGCGGCAGCAGCGTACACTTCGTGTCCAGATCCCTTCGTTAACTTGAATGGCGAGTGTTTCTTCCTGTCTGCCGTGGAGATGTTGGGTTGGGAGGATGCTCGCAGGGAGTGTGGCAGACTGGGTGGTGATCTAGCCTCCCCCCGCAGCCTACCTTCCCTTAGAGAGTATCTCCGCTCCATTCAAGGTTAGATGACTAGTTCTACAACCTGTTTTTTCCTAAAGAGTACCTCCACTCCATCCAAGGTAGGTACACCCTTTCCACAACCCATCATTATTAACTCAGTACCGTCTAAGGTGAGGCATTGTCCAAAGTCACTAACAGATTTTGCAGCCCTTGTTCTCTTACCCGTAGCAGGGGTGGGCAATTTTGACTGGGAAGGTCACATCTAGTACTAGCTTAAACTACTTGAGGTTAGTGGGCCACACTTAATGTGAAATTGTAAATGTTTAATAGTACCTTAAATTCACTTCTTAGATCATTTTGGAATCAACAAGTGTTACAAAATGCGATATTTATAAAGTATAGACATCTCTGGACAATGCTAGATCAACCTATTGATCCTCCTCTAGCATCTAACCTGTTTCTGGTTTTGTAACAGTTTGTCAGAAAGTATTCTGGCCCAGTTATCACTTAACATTAAGATAAATTTTAATAGTGCTTTAGGATTGCAACTGATAGGATACTTAAGAAATAAAAATTGAGAAGTTTATTAACAAAGTTGTCTAGGTGGACAAAATTAAAGTTAATGAATTTGATATAATTAAGGATATAAGCTCCTACACTTCTCTTGTAGTGCAAAGTTAAATTGTACATATAGTAGTATAGTGCTGCAGGTACATTTCATATCAGCATGACTTAAGTACCATCCGGTAAGTTATCATTAACTATAAAAAATAATGCTAGTATTTAAAAGTGTGTGTTTGAGAATGTGTGTACGTGCTCAAAGTTGTTTGTTATGTCTCAGTAAGACTAGACTCGACTTAGACTTAAACAGTGATTGACTAAACGTCCTCAAATAATCTATCTTCTTGACCAACAAGGCAGTCAAAACAGCTTGCTTGAACAATATGACGAACGATTTGCCAAATAATGATAATGTACAAAACAGCACGGAGTCAGGAACAAGGAGACAACATAACGACCCCTAACTGGGGACCATCAGTAGATCCTCCATGAAAGTCATAAAACTAAGCAACAAGAGTCATGTAGCACTGCAGGACAGAAAATAGTGCTGGGGCTATAAACAGCTAGGTGGAGAAGGGATCAGAGGTGAGGGAAGAAAAGGGCTGGAAGGAACGCTAAGGGCTATGTGTAAAAATTCATATAGTAAAGCAGCTGCTGACAAAATGTCAAAAAGTGATCGTAAGTCAAAGACAAAGCCGTCTGCAAGAAATGAAGATGAGGTAAGAGTGGTAAGGTGCCAGCATCGATGGAGGTCAATCCTGCGAGCTCGCTGGTAAACCGGACAATCCACAAGAAAGTGAAGAACCAAAATAGGGACCCGACAAACCACACAAAGATGTTGTTCCACGAGATACCCATGGGTAAGGTGAGTATGGCCGATGCAGAGACAGGAGAATGCAGTCTCCCGATTACGGAAATTGTGGTAAGAAGATGGCCACAAACCTAAAAGTGGTTTAATAGAGTGCAATTTGTTATGGTGCATGCCCAACTACTGTTACCAACTGCCGCGAAGACGGGCAGAGATGACTGTTAAATAATCCCTGAATGGAATACCTCTATAGGAAACTAGATCACGTACTGCTGACTGCACAGCAGCATCTGCCTGTTCATTGCCCTGCACATCAACATATCCAGGGATCCAACAGAAAATGACATTTTTGTTTTTGCTAGCCACAGAGTGCAACCAAAGTTAAATACAAAGGACCACTGGATGAGGGAAATCAAATTGTTTAATGGTCTGTAAAGTGCTGAGGGAATCTGAAATGATCACAAATGCTGACAGAGACATATATGTAATATGGAGAAGTGCTATGAGGATGGCATACAACTCAGCCATAAAAATACTAGCTGAGTCTAACAAATGACCCTGGACAACATCGTTAGGGAACACCACTGTGAACCCAACACTGTCAGAAGATTTAGAATCATTTGTATAAACAGTGATGGCATGCACATGCGACCGGAAGTGATCAAGTAAAAGAGAGCGAGAAACAGCCGTAGGTAGGAGAGCTTTGGTGCGTGACAGTAGGGGAGAACAGACACAAACTGTCAGAACCTCCCAAGGAGAAGGGAAAAGGAAGACACTACATAAACATACAAGTAAGGCAACTGGAGAAAAGACCAGAGTGAGTGAAGATGAAGAGAAAATGGTCAGAGTAAGCAGGGGCACTGAACAAATAACAGGCTTCTACTAATGTCTGAGACTAACCTATACATAGAAGGAACACAAAGGTCATGAGAGTGGACAAAGTAACGAAGGCAATGAGCATCACGACAATCGGCTAAGGAAGGAACATTCGCCTCAGCATAGAGGCTTTCAACCGGGGATGAACGAAAGGCACCAAGGCATAAACGTAGACCTTGATGATAAAGGGGATCTAACTTAGAAAGAGTTGTAGAAGCCGTAGAATAGACTTGGTCACCATAATCCAGCTTGAACAAGACTAGGGTGGAATGCAAACAGAGGAGAGTCCGGTGATCTACTCCCCATGAATGATGCGCAAGAATTTTAAGGAGAATCAGCCGACCATGGCAAGGTGCCTTCAAAGAGAAAATGTGAGGTTTCCATGTCAATCGGCGATCGAAGAGAAGGCCAAGAAACTTGACCGTATCACATTCTGGGATACGTGAGCTGTGTAAATACAGTGAAATATCTGGGATAAGAGGACGTCTCGTGACGTCATGAGAAACGGCCCAATGCAAAACATGGTCAATCACATCCTGAAGGGAGGCCACTACCAGGCAACAGTAAGCACCTGCGTAAGCTATAGTGAAGTCATCCACATAAAGTGATGACCAAATATGCAATGGACGAACAGAAGGTCGGTCATTTATAGCCAAGAGAAACAGGGTAGTACTAAGGACACAACCTTGTGAGACCCCCCTCGGCCTGAACAAAGTTTCAGGAAAGTGAGGCGCCAACACGGACATGAAAATGTCTTTCAGATAAGAAAGCAGCTAGGAAGGTCAGTAAATTACTGTGGAGGCCTAAGGAGTAGGCCTTGGTTAAGATGTTATATCTCCAAGTGGTGTCATATGTCTTCTCGAGATCAAAAAAGACTGCTAGGATGGAGTGTTTATTAGCAAAGGCATTTCCCACATACATATCAAAGTGGAGCAAGGGGTCCAAAGTCGAGCGGCCCTTGTGAAAGTCATTGGCGAGGAGAAAGACTATTGTGAGTCTCTAAATTCCATATCATACGTCTATTCACCAATCGTTCCATCACCTTGCAGACTACACTGGTCAGAGCAATGGGACAATAGTGAGAGGTATCAAGCCCCGAAGTACCTGGTTTGTTAAACGGTAGTAAAATGGCAGATTTCCATTATTGAGGGAGAACCCCTTACATCCAAACAAGATTGAAAAGATGCAAAAGTACTGCAAGGGCTGTAGAATGCAAATGCTGTAGCATATGGGTGTGAATATCATCGGGCCCAGCTGCCGATGACCGGCAGGGAGAAAACATAGACTGTAGCTGTGAGAGTAAAAGGTACATTATATGGCTCCATCTCATTAGAAGAGAAGTCCAAGGGGGATTGCCCCCCGGCAGACATAGAAGCAGGAAACGAGGGACAGAGTTGAAGCTCTTGGAAGACATGGACAAGATAGTTTCCAATTTCCATGGCAGCTTCAAGAGGTTTCGCAACACTAACACCAGCAACCCGCAAAACCAGAGCTGGATCCAGAGAGTACTTACCACACAACTTCCGTACCTTCTTCCAACCCACGCACATTAGGGAAGTCGAGGTAACAGTAGAAACATAGTCCTTCCAACGAGTGCATTTAGCGTTGTGTATGATGTGGCAAGTGACTACCCTTGCTTGCTTAAAATCCAAAAGACGATCTGCGGTCCAATTATATCGATAACGGCCCCATGTAGCACATTTCAGACACACTGCATGGGCATACTCAGGAAACCACAAAGACACGCATGTCTGAGAATGCCTGCCTGAGATTTGAAAAATAGAACGTGATGCTGCAGTCAAAAACTGGTGCACCAGCTCATCAAGAGAGGACGAAGAAGGGTCCTCACAAAAAGCAGTAAGATGAGAGTATACGTCCTAATTCGCTCGTCCAAATTGCCAATGGAGCTATGAGGAGGTCGGGAATACGTTGAAGTATGAATAATAGGAAAGTGATCACTGTTGTGCAAATCCGGGAGAACAGATCAAGTATAACCAAGGCAATTGACAAGGAACAGATAGAAAGATTGATGCAAGATAGAGACTAAGTATGAGTCAAAATAGGTGGGAACACCCGTATTTAAAACATGAAGAGGATGAGAAGTAATAAGAGTCTCTAATTAATCACAATGAGAGTCACAGTGGGACCTTCCCCAAAGATGATGATGATGAGCATAAAAATCACCTAACGAGATGGGTGGCGGCCGAGAAGAGATCAAGAATGCAACATCCAGGATACAGAATGCATGGGAAGGGGGGAGATATAGAAAGCAAACTGTATACCATCTGTGCAAATAAATATGGGCTGCAGTATAATGCAGCTGAGAACGAACAAAGACCTGTTGAAACGGTATACCAACAGGCACAAGAAGTACACTCTCATTAGAAGTTTCATCAGGAAAGGGATCAGAAGAATGCAACAGCACATTGCCCGAAACAGGATGGATAACTGCTGAACGAACTTTAGGCTTTTGTAATCCGACATATACTAGGAAAAACTGGGAGAGCAACACCTGGAGCTCTCCCAGATTACCCCTGAGGCCACGAATATTCCATTGTAAATAAGTCATTATTCATAAAGACAGATATGCTAATAATGAGAAGCAATAAAATCTATGGACTAGTAGGGTCAATGAAGTCATTGTGTGGAGGCAATGGATAGCATGTAAGCAGGGAGGAATCAGAACGCTGTGAAGGAAAAGATTGCTGTGAGGGTTGTGAAAAATAAGGGGCATAAAGAGGAGCACTGGTGTCCATTGAGGGTTTCTTCTCAGCAATATAATTGGAGATAGCATCATGCATTTTAGCGGACAAGG